GCGGGGAGCGCGCCGCGTGTCCGCCCGCCGCTCCCCGCCATGCCCGCTGCAGCAATCCTGCGTCTGCCGTAGGGCCGGGCTAGGGGATTCCGACAGGGTTTCTGTTTTGACAGCTGTGTCTGTTATCTATCTTTGATTTGAAGGGGGATCAATTCTTCCTGGTAATCCAGATAGGCAACCACTTAGAATCGACTATAATATGCTCATTACTCTTATAACGGTAAATATACTTTAAAAAATCGCACACACGTAGAAATGGAGCACGATGCCACCATTAAAATTGTTTGGGGAAGGACTTGGAAACATGCCCCTGACAGTATGCCGGCGTCTGTTTTAAAAGGCAGAGTACAGCAACATACTCCAAGTAGCTTTCTCTAATGCTGAGATCACAGGCTAGTTGTCTGCATTTTATAACTTTTTAAATTCATGTTTTTATTTTGTGTGAACAAGGATACTCTTTTATAACAAGATGGAGAGAAAAAATACAGCAACTGAAAACCGGAGTAGCCGAGGGAAGTCGCCTTTGGGTGGCGCCCCCGTGTGGTTACCAAGATGCGTTTCCTTTCGGCATTTCCTCCTGTGAGTGGGATCTTCCACTCCAGGAACTGGTGCTGACTTGGCTGGCTTTGCGGACCAAGCAGGCGGGATCTTTACGGTCTTGTCCTTGACTCTTGCTTCCTCATTAGCCTAGGCTGAGCTTGCAGCAAACGAGTCCGTCCTGGTTCCTTCTTCTTCACATATAATTTCCCCAGTGTGGGGCAGGATGCAGCCTGGGCTTAAGTCACCGTCTGTGTGTCCCTATAATTAATTTTCCCCAAGAGAGAACCTGATCAGGTTGGTTTCTTACCACAGGATTTCAAAAACCTCTTTGAACAGCGTTTAAAGTCAAGATCCCTTAAAGGTGGATGGAGGTCAGAATGGCATGGCAAAAAACGATTTTAGCAATTATATATAGAACGAATTGGGGAGGAATGCTTTCATTCAAGGACGATGTGGGCATGTTGTTGTTGTTGTTGTTGTCAGGTGCCATCGAGTCGGAACCGACTCATAACGAAAGAATGTCCGATCCTGGGCCAACCTCACTACCGCCGCCACACTTGAGTCCATCAGTGATGCCACCTGGCTGATCCATCTCGTTGGGGGTCTTCCTCTTTTTCTCTGACCCTCCACCTTACTCAGCATGACATCCTTCTCCAGCGACTGTTCTCTCCGGACAATGTGTCCAAAGTATGAGAGACGAAGCCTAGCCATCTTGGCCTCCAAGGAGCACTCTGGCTGCTGCACTTCTTCCAAAACAGATCTATTGGTTCTTTTATGCAGTCCGTGGCACTTTGAGTATTCTCCTCCAACAACAGAGACCTTTAAACCAGGTCCATTCCAGTTTAACCCCCTGCTGAGAATTGGCATTTCCACCCAGATTTACTGAGCCAGATCTTATTCAAAACCAATCTTGTTGAAATGTTGGTTGGTTGGTTATGTGCCATGGAGTCGGTTCCTACTCCTAGCGACCCTGTACAGGGTTTCCGAGGCTGTAAATCTTTATGGGAGCAGAAAACCTCATCTTTCTCCCGCGGAACAGCTGGTGGTTTCGAACTGCTGCCTTTGAGAGGTTTGCAGCACTATTCGTAACCAGTACACTAGGTTGCCCTTATTAAACTTCCCCGGCCTCTCTTAATACAAGCCACCATCATTCACTCCAACTCTTTGGAGTGGTTGGAGGTATGAGTTGGCAGCGGCATAGAAAACATTTGAGGCTGGAAGGTTCCCAGCATGTTTAGGCAAAGGAGAGTGGCTCCTGTGTCTAGGACTTCAAGTAACAAAAATAGGCAGAACCACATTGTAACAAGCTTCAAATGCTAATCCTTTGAACTGAATTCAGGCAAAGGGGCAGGATCTGATCCTGTGGTTGAGTTGCGGAATACCCCAGTCATGGACATCTGATGGCAAGGTACGGAGGAACTGAGAGGGAGAAGAGATTAGTGAGGAGTCTACTGCACCAGTCCATGCACGAGGCGAGAAAAGGTCTGAGTACAATGTCGTAGGAGTGGGAATGGAAAGGAAGAATCAAATAAATCTGAGAATGTTGTCAACCGTACCCAGCAGGAGGAAGTCAAGCGTTAGGTGTGAAGTTGTCTGAGAAAAAGAATTCTGGAGCTGTGTGAAGGTTTTCCCTCTGCCTGAAGAGCGTCGTTTGCCCTATCTGAAGTATAGTGAGCAGGAGTAAGGGCTGGTTTTCAGGAGTGGGCTCAAAGAAAATTCAACTTTGGACATGTTTTGTCAGTTGTGCCAGGGCCATTTTTAGGTAGAAACTGCCTATTCTGCTGGATTCTCAGATCACGGCGTCACAGTCTTCTGGGAAGCTGGTTATGGAAACAGATTTTTGGTTCCATTTCATATCTACTGAATCAAACTTTCTAGAGATGGGTCCTGAGGATTGTGGGGAAAACTTTTTAAAAAAAACAAAATCCAAGCATCGGGCTGAGGGGAAGGAGGGTTCTGATGTACAGCCAAGTTTGGGAAGTAATGACTAGTCCAACCTTCCATCTAAGATGGCATCCACTGCAAAGCAACCCTGAGAGCTGAGCCTCCAGTCTCTTGTTCCTGTTTACAGAAAAGAAGAATAAGTCTATACCCTGGATTCGAATTGATAGTCAAGACCTGCCGTAGCCTTTGCCCTCCCTTTCCCCTTTCATGGCTCACTCTGCCCACTACATGGCTCAGTCCCCTCATTGTTGTTGTTAAGTGCCTTCAAGTATAGGGTTGTTGAGGCATTTAAACTTTGTGGAAGCAGAAAGCCTGATCTTTCTCCTGCGGAGCAGCTGGTGGGCTTGAACCGTGGAACTGGTGGCTCACAGTCCAGTGCTTATCATATGGAGCCACCACACTCCCAGTTGTTTTCCAGTTGTGAAGTGCCGTCAAGTCGGTTCCGACCCATAGTGATCCTGTATAGGGTTTCCAAGGAGCAGCTGGTGAGCTTGAGCCACTGACCTTGCAGTTCAAACGGCTTTGCAGTCTGGCTCATTACCCACAACGCCACACCAGGACTCCATTGTTGTTGTTAAGTGCTGTCAATTTGGTTCTGACTCATAGTGACTCTGTATATGGTTTCCGAGGAGCAGCTGGTGGGTTTGAACTCCACAACTGTATCATTAACAGGCATGAAAAGTTACACTTCCTTTGCCCATCCAAAGCTTCCTCTTCTCTCCCAGACCAGCTCAGACCTTAACTCTTTCACGAAGCCTTCCCACACCAATTAGCCTGCAGTAAACTGCCTCATTCAATTTCTGATATTGTATAATTTATTTGGCACTCAGAGAAAAATTATAACATAAGGTAATAATATTCTAATTTGTTTCACAGATTATCAATTCCCTGAGAGCAGGGACCATATCTTATTTTTCTTCTCTCCCCAACAATACCTTATACCGGATATTGCTGTTAAGTGCCATTGAGTCGGTTCCGACTGAGAGCAACCCTGTGTGGGGTTTCCAAGGAGCAGCTGGTGAGTTTGAACTGCCAGCCTTGTGGTTCAAACTGATTTTGTGGTCCAGTGCTTTATCCTACAGTGCTACATCAGGACTCCTAACACAGACTAGGTTTGGAGAATGTAATTACCTGCTACCCATCTTAATGGATCGCTCTGTGTGGTGTGATGGGTTCTCTTGCCCAACACTGCTTCTTCCCCCACTCAATACCCCCCTGCTGAATAGTTCCAGAAAAATCTAAGAGGAGGTGGTCACTAAGCATCTGTAGCTAACCCGGAAGGAGCCCAGTGGATTGGTGAATCTATGAGACCACATGTCAACCCAAGGGATCAGAGACTCATGAAGCATGTGACTCAGACCATCTCGATGTAATGGATATTCACCCATAATCCCCTGTGGCTGCTTCTGATGCTTGGGTGGGTACAGCAGTATGAACGAACCTCTATGTTTCCAGCTGCTCCCTCAGGTCTGAAGTTTTCCCTTGGGACTAGGCACATCACCTGAAGGCTCAATGTCAGGCCTTTCAGAGAAGGCTGGGTAGTCATTACTGTTTCGGCCAAATGTTTCCAGTTGGTTGGACTTTAGGAGTGTGGTTGGATGGCGCTTCCTGGACCCTTGTAGTTGGGTTGGGCCATGTAACAAGTTTTGGCCTATCAGTTATGCATGGAAGTATGCATGCCACTTCCGGGCCAAGCATTAATTATAGGTTGAGACCCTCCAGAGATTTCTTTCCCTATTCTAAAGTGACCAGCAATATTTGAGAAGGTGGCTGCTCTATTCATCTATGTTTGTTGTTGTTTTTGTTAGGTGCTGTTGGAATGAACTGTTGTCTGGTCCTGCAGCATCCTTGCATCATTGTGATT